TGTATCGTATTCTATGGTATTGCTGTTAAATATTGGGAGGGGTGTTGCTGACCATTACTGTATAGGTTGTGTTCTTGATGTACAAAATATCGTTCGTAAAAATGATGATTCGTTCTTAGTGTAGAGACAATATTGTAGGCATTTTGGGGATCACCTGAAGATTAACCCCCCCAGTTTATCTCACCTTAACGTTAACTCTACTAACCTAACCTAACCTAACCTAACCTAATCCAACTAGACCTAACCTAACTCGCCCTTGGTAACATAAGCGTGCAGGTTAATTATCAGGGTGGTTAATGTTCAGGTGATCCACAGACGTTGTAGTGTCGGTTAAGATAAGCTGGCGTATGATTGGCTCTGAAGTCATACAGGTAAACCAATCAGAACCATAATAGATTTGATGAGAGGGCATGAAGGTGAAGGAGACGGAACATAAGGCGGACCAATATACTTCCTTGATTCCACGCCCACTTCCTCCAGGAGAGAGAGGGCAGGGAGAGTGTGAGGGGGAGAGGGGAGAGGGGAGGGGGGGCATGTTTCACCCAGCCCTCACCTGGCGTCTGTCACCTGTGTTAATCCTTCATCATCACCTTTTCCTCCCTCCTCCTCCTGCCGTCACCTTCTGTTACATCCGGGAGGGGAGGAGGGAGGAGGAGGGAGGGAGGGGGGGGAGGGGGGTAGAGATGTCTGACTAGTTTTTGTGTCCAGATATAAATAGTCTTGTGTTCTGAGGTATAATATAAGATGTTTGGGCTTTTAAGAGTACACGGTGTGACACTTAAGAGTACATGGTGTGATAGAGAGTACACGGTGTGACACTTAACAGTACACGCTTCGATAGATTGTGTTAAGTGCTGATAGATAGAGATTGTAGGGATGTAAATTTGACTCTCCTTCATCCCTTTAAGACGAGTGTGTTATTGTGAGCTTTATATTGTACACACACACACACACAGACACACACACACACACACACACACACACACACACACACACACACGCGCGCGCGCGTAATAGCCTCAATGTCAGTCGTTTATTTATGGGGAAAAAAATGCGTTAGGGTAGTTTGATGTTTTATGCAGTGACGTAATTGTTGTGTAGGAGAAGATTTTGCTACATTGTCTGACGAGCCACACCGTTTATGTCTGACGAGCCACACCGTTTATGTCTGACGAGCCACACCGTTTATGTCTGACGAGCCACATCGTTTACCTGGGCCCATCATCATCACCACCTCACCTGTACGGCTCCTGGACACCTTACTTGATTTCCTTCATATTGTTGGATCACTTGAAGATTAGACACCCTAGCTTATTCCACCTGATGATTGACCACCCTGACCTAACTTAATCTACCATAACCTAACTTACTCTCAACCTAACCTAACCTAACCAAACCTAACCTAACCCTAATATAGTGTTGCGGTAGTTAATCATGAGGTTAAATAAGCTGGGGGGGGGGTCTAATCTCTGCAGTTTTTCTTTTTAAATATATATATATATTTTATTTATGTGTTAATAATCCAAAAACTAGATAGTGATGATAACGTGTGATGAAGAGGCTCATTACCTGTGGGCGGCAGATGTGGTGGTCACGGGTGGGTGGGTGGGTGGGGGAGAGACATACCTCCACACGGCCTCATTATGACCTCCGATATTAAATTTTCTTCCGTATATCAAGGTTGAAATATTTTAATTATGACTACATATAACACGCACACGGATTTCTCTACATATAGGTCTACATATGTGTGTGTGTGTGTGTGTGTGTGTGTGTGTGTGTGTGTACCAATAAATACCGTCCCTTGATTGAAGTTCCTATCAGTCAAGTCGTACAATCGTCATGGAATTGTTCGCTTTGGGTAAATTTGACGGATATCACCTCGTCTTGTTGACTGGTCGACCTCAAACTTGGGGTGAGTGATGATAGTGCATTGCAAGTTGTTGGTAAGGTATGGTACTTTGGCCCTTAATGTAGTCGTCGCTCTCTCTCTCTCTCTCTCTCTCTCCTGTGTCTGTCTCTGTCTCACACAATGTTTAATATATATAACGGTGTGTCTCGTGTTAATGTTCGCCAATGACTTCCATGAGTATGTCGGAAAGTGTCAGGATGTGACACTTTATGACGTCGTTATTACACCCCATGACACGATGACCCCAACCTAACCTATATCCTCGCTTAACCAGACCTAACCTAACCTAACCTAACCAGACCTAACCTAACCTAACCGAATTTCTGCCTTCACTAACCTAACCTAACCCATCCCACCCTAACCGAACCTAGTAAAGGGATTACAGGCTCTATAACGCACAATACAGTACAGGTATACGAGAAGAGTGTAATTACATAACGTTTTGTTAATAGTAATAGCCGTGTAATAAAGCCATTACCTGTAGCTCATAAATTACTTCAACTGGCTTTTGTGAACTAATGTAATTGTCAACTAATTGTTATGGTAATACTAGTTTGAGCTGTAAGTGTTATGTTTACAGGTGATGCTGCTGCCATGGAATCTGATCACTTGAAGATTAGCCCCTTATCTTATTTCACCTATAGATTAACCACCCTAACGCTGACCTAATCTAATGTAACCTGACCTAATCTGACCTAACATATCCAATTCTAACCTTGTCTATTCTAACCTAACCTAATTTAACAAATCTTAACTTAGCTTTACCTAATCTGATCTAAGATAACCTAACCTAACCCCCCCCCCCAGGTTGTGTTAGGTGTGTGTTTAACCATCAGGTGAAGTAAGTTAGGCCTATTTAGACCTATATAAAAGAACATTTACGACCGTTCTTAATGGCGAAGTAAATGAACCAATAACGCTTTTGTAATAATAATAATAATAATAATAATAATAATAATAATAATAATAATAATAATACAGACGTTAAATAAATAGAAATTCTCATCGTATTTAATTAACAAATCACGAAGGCTCATTAAAATTCGAACAAAAATACTTAATGGCGCAATAAAGGCGTATAGTGTGAGTCATTATGGCGCAACACGTTTAACAGTCTCAGTCTCACTACAGATGAAGGAGCAGGTTTTGAAGGCGCGACAGAGGTTGATGGCGTGTAATGCGTAGTGAGGTTTAAGTGATTACCTTAATGGTGTCATAGTGGTAGTGGGTGTGCCTTAAGGTGCACTGAGAGACTCTTGAGCTTGTGGCTTAAAGGCGCAACATTCTGGCTTGATGACGTGATTGAGTTGAAAATTTGACCTTGGAGACGTGATGAAGCTTTTAAGACGAGAGAAAGCTAACAATTTTAGCTTTATGATGTGATGAGGTTGGGTATTTTAGCTTTAAGACGTGATGCTGCGTGAGGTTTAAGCTTTATAACGAAAGCTGCAGTGTTAGCTGGAGGACCTGATGAAAATAGAAATTTAGCTTCAAGATATGGTGAAGGTTATATTTTTTTTAGCTTCAGCAAATACTGAAGTTATTTGTTTTATCTTTAAAGACTTGTGGACGGCGAGAAAATGTGTTACCGTATAGGCGAAGTGACACATAACACTTGTCTTAAAACTGTCACGGGTCGAGGTTGAGACTGTCACGGGTCGAGGTTGAGACTGTCACGGGTCGAGGTTGACTGTCACGGGTCGAGGTTGAGACTGTCACGGGTCGAGGTTGAGACTGTCACGGGACGAGAGTTGGGAACTGTCACGGGACGAGGTTAGGGCTATCACGGGTCGAGGTTGAAGTTGTTGCAGGACAGGGTTAAGGACTGTCATGGGTCAGGTTAAGGACTATCACGGGACGAGGAGAGGTTGGGAGACTGTCACGGGACAGTTGGAGACTGTCACGGGTCGAGGTTGAGACTGTCGCAGGACGAGGTTGAGACTATCACAGGTCGAGTTGGGACTGTCACAGATCGAGTTGAGACTGTCACGGGTCGAGTTGGAGACTCACGGAGTCGAGGTTGAGACTGTCACAGGTCGAGTTGAGACTGTCGCAGGTCGAGGAGTTGAGACTGTCACGGAGTCGAGAGTTGGAACTGTCACAGGTCGAGAGTTGAGACTGTCACAGGACGAGGTTGAGACTGTCACGGGACGGGTTGAACTGTCACGGGTCGAGGTTGAGACTGGCCTGGTCGAGGTTAGGGTGTTACAGGACGGAGTTGAGACTCACAGGACAGGTTGAGACTGTCACGGGTCGAGGAGTTGCAGAGACTATCACAGGTCGAGGTTGAGACTGCCATGAGTCGAGTTAAGAGACTGTCACGGGTCGAGTTGGAGACTGTCACAGGTCGAGGTTGGAGACTGTCACGGGTCGAGTTGGAGACTATCACGGAAGGTCGAGTTAGCAGAGGCTATCTGGGTGGGGTTTAAGGACTGTCACTTGAGTCGAGGTTGAGACTGTCACAGGTCGAGTTAGAGACTATCACGGGTCGAGTTGAGACTGTCACAGGACGAGTTGAGACTGTCGCGGAGTCGGGTTGAGACTGTCACGGGACGAATTTAGAGACTGTCTGGGACGGGGTTGAACTGTCTGGGTCGAGTTAAGGACTGTCACGGGTCGAGTTAGGGATTGTTACAGGACAGAGTTGAGACTGTCACGGGTCGAGGTTGAGACTGTCACGGGACGAGGTTGAGACTGTCACGGGACGAGGATGAGACTGTCACGGGTCGAGGTTGAGACTGTCACGGGACGAGGTTGAGACTGTCACGGGTCGAGGTTGAGACTCACGGGTCGAGGTTGAGACTGGGTGACATGACCAAGAACTGGTCCGGCTACAACACATTATAACAACTCAGTTTTTTCCTCCTGCAGAACAAAATAGAAACGACACAAGTGTTTCCCGCCCAGTAACGTAATACAGGAGTTGTGTACTCTGTAAGTAGGTGTACATAAGAAACAAGTGTACACAGTAATCAGCTGTACACATTTATTAGATGTATACAGTTATCAGGTATACACAGGTGATAGCAATTGGGCCCGCTACTGCTGGGGTGGCAGACGTGGCCGAGCCTCCTTCACTAGTACCTACCTGAGGGCGAAGGTCTCTGCTTTATCAGCCCCCATAATCTCCTGCACAGTTTTGTCTTGGTACTGGAGGAAGACCTTGGTATCCTCTCCTAGATTACTCCACGGGTATCCAGGTGTCGTGTTAATCCTTATTGATATTAGATGAGACTTTAATTAATTATTTTTCCACCGTTGGCTATTTTTTGTCACTTGTTATTTCACTTCAGATCATGTGGTTATGTTTTCAGGTATGTTATGTTGGCCGTACGCCATTAGAGGTAAAGGCGCGGGGTAGTGGCGTGAGGGAACTTGGGGTGCCCAGTGAAGGAAGGGAGGGAGCAGGAGCGACACACGACCGCTCACTACGACTCCCAAACAATAACTGACCCGGGAGAGGACTCGGAAGAGGAGGACTGTGTTGACGCTCGCGGGCCCCACCACGCCTGCCTGCCTGCCTGCCCCGAGTCCTCGTAAGTGTTGGCGTGGGCGAGCTGGGCCACACTGGGGTTGGGGGGTATCGAGGAGGTGGGTGTGGGGATGGTGTGGTAGTCGTGAAGGAAGGGGAGTGGAGAGAGGGGTGTGCCCGCGATGCCTTGTACGGTGGATGGGCACGGGCGGCTGATGCTGGATAGCGAGATGGGTATGGAGTGGTGGGCAAGTGACGGTGGGGAACTAAGCCCATCAGTTTTTGCTTGGTGGTAGTGTACGAATTACTAAGGTGTGTAGGTGGATGATAGAAATTTTTTTTAGTGGTGTTTTGTGAGAGTAGTCAGACGTGTGGTGATGTCATCGTCAGATCTAACCTACCCTACCCTAACCCCACCCCCCCCCCACCCCCCAGGTAGCTTTGAGGTGTTTCATTATCAGGTGAAATAAATTGGGGTGTCTAATCTTCAGGTGATCCATTTAAACAATTATTATTTTCATTAACTGCAGAAATACAACGAAGTTTAAACCATCAAATTGCTTGTTATATGTTGTGACTTTATGAGTTAGTTTAGATATTTGTTAAATTGAACTTGATGCATATGGACTACTGCATGAGGGAGTTAATGTAAGCAGTACAGTACATGTTTACAAAGTTTTCTGTAATTTAATGTAAGTTACAGTTCCTCCCTGACACGTGTTGGGTGTTAGTGTGTAATGGATGACTCGAGGCATGCTGAACTGTATACTTGTCTTGTCTGTATACATGCTGAACTCTCTACCGCCACACCCATCAAAACATTGACCGGAGGAAACTGGGACTTTCAATTCCCACGAGAGGTTAGTGATTCACCCCCAGCCACTGTGTTGTGTTGTGTTGTGTTACTTCACTTGTTGCTTATTCCACTCTGTGTGTGTAAGGGAGAGAGAGAGAGAGAGAGAGAGAGAGAAGACTTGCAGAGATTGTCGGACGAACCAAAGTCACACTGTAAATTTTGGTGATCACCTGAAGATTAGACGCACACAATTTAAAATGTTACCTGTAGATTAGACGCACATCTTCATGCTAACCTAATATAACTTAACCCAACCCTAACCAAATTGGAAATAAATCTTAAAATAAACATTATGGTAACAATAAATTTAAACTAGTGATTCAACCCAACCCAACCCAACCCCACCCAACCCCACCCACACCCCACACACCCACTCCCACTCCAGCCCCACCCACCCAACCCCAACCCAACCCACCCCCCAACCCAACCCCACCCAACCCCACCCCACGTAGCGTTAAGAGGTTTAATTATAAGGTGAAATAAACTGCGGCCAATTTTCAGGTGATTCAATATTACATTTGTTTAAAAAGTGTCAATATTTCGTTAATATTAAAAAAAAATATATATTGTCAAAACTGAAGTTGTGTTTGTTGAATGATGTTTTTTATTGTTGTTGTTGTTCTGGCGAGACTAGTATGTGTTTGTCGAGAGTATCTTAATTAAGTGGTCCCTGTGTGTTGTGTCTTTGCTTGTGTTGTGTCTTTATTTGTGTTGTGTTGGAGTGATGAGGAGTTAAGATTGAGTGACGGGGAGGGACAGTTAACTCACCACCATCAGGTCACTCACAACATTTGAATGACGCAGTGATTAGGTAAATGAGTGACGGGGAGGGACCGGTAACTCACCACCATCAGGTCACTCACAACATTTGAATGACGCAGTGATTAGGTAAATGAGTGACGGGGAGGGACCGGTAACTCACCACCATCAGGTCACTCACAACATTTGAATGACGCAGTTATTAGGTAAATGAGTGACGGAGGGACCGGTAACTCACCACCATCAGGCCACACAACATTTGAGTGACGCAATGATAAGGTTAATGAGTAAAAATGAGTGACGGGGAGTGACAGGTAACTCAGCACCATCAGGCCATACTCACAGCACAGGTGCAGGGAGGAAGTCGGTCATTAAGCTAACAAAATATATCTTGATTTTTATTTTTATTATTTCTTTGTCACTCACGAGTTCCCAGGACCTTGAGTGAGTGTCTGTGTTGGTGTGTACATTCTGAATGGTAATCTATTTTCAGTATTCAAGGAGGCAACAATGGCCGACAGATACTGTACTACGGCCTTCCTCACTTCCTCTGCATATAGTTAGGTACCCATTCACAGCTGGGTGGTTTGGGGGTGCTCTGGCTATAGTAAACATGATTAACTACAACGCCACAGTAAAGAATAAACTACAAACCACAACAACAACACCCAAAACAATAAACTACAAGCAATAACAACAACAACAGTTCGTGGTGTACAAGTCATGTGGTCAAGGAACTGTATTACATATTTGTGGGTCTACAATAATTGATGTACAATAATCATGTACATCCCCTCCCGAACCGACGCACACCTGAGAGGCGAGTGTAGTGTCTTAATTAACTTACCTTTGTGTGATTATAGGGTAGTCGGGACACAGGTGAGTTAAAACCCCAGGAAAAGAGGGAAGTACCATGTGTCTCTCTCTCTCTCTCTCTCTCTCTCTCTCTCTCTCTTTGTTTCTCCAGTTGCCAGCTATTAGTTCGGGTGTGCAGTGGCTGAGTGGATAGAGTGTTCACCTTTTGTCCCAAGGATCGCACCCAGTTCATTCCTAGTCCACATAACAGTAGATACGAGTAATTACAGTGCCAGGCTCTGATGGGCAGGCGTTAAGGCTAAGTTAGGTTAGGTTAGGTTAGTGCAAGGCTAAGTTAGGTTAGGTTAGGTTAGTGCAAGGCTAAGTTAGGTTAGGTTAGGTTAGTGCAAGGCTAAGTTAGGTTAGGTTAGGTTAGTGCAAGGCTAAGTTAGGTTAGGTTAGGTTAGGCTAACATTAGGCTGTTTAATCATCAGGTGAAATAAACTGGGGTGTCTAATCTTCAGGTAATCCTCATTAAACCCTTCATTACAGTCGTCAGCTACAAACACCCACTTAATGTATCCTGTAAAGACATCATCGTTCTGGCTCTGTTATACAATGGTTTGATTACCCCCCAGCGAGGCCTTAATCACCCTGGCGAGGCAATCTTAATGACCCCTCATTAGTGGCCGCCATCACCCTCCTTAGCATAATGGGTGGAGTCGTGTTCTCTACTGTGGTCTGGAGAACCTCATGTGCTGTGATTACTGTGGTCAGGGGAAGGTGGTGGAGGGTAGGGGAAGGTGGTGGAGGGTAGGGGAAGATACTGGAGGGGTAGGGGAAGATAGTGGAGGGGTAGGGGAAGATAGTGGAGGGGTAGGGGAAGGTGGTGGGGTAGGGCTAGGGGAAGGTGGTGGGGGGTATGGGAAGATAGTGGAGGGGCAGGTGCGTAGGGGGTGTAGAGGGGGTAGTACAGGTAGTGTTAAGATAGTACAGGTAGTGTTAAGATAGTACAGCTAGTGTTAAGATAGTACAGGTAGTGTTAAAATAGTACAGGTTGTGTTAAGATAGTACAGGTAGTGTTAAAATAGTACAGGTTGTGTTAAGATAGTACAGGTTGTGTTAAGATAGTACAGGTAGTGCTAAGATAGTACAGGTAGTGCTAAGATAGTACAGGTAGTGTTAAGATAGTACAGGTTGTGTTAAGATAGTACAGGTAGTGTTAAGATAGTACAGGTAGTGTTAAGATAGTACAGGTAGTGTTATGATAGTACAGGTAGTGTTAAGATAGTACAAGTTGTGTTAAGATAGTACAGGTAGTGTTAAGATAGTACAGGTAGTGTTATGATAGTACAGGTAGTGTTAAAATAGTACAGGTTGTGTTAAGATAGTACAGGTTGTGTTAAGATAGTACAGGCAGTGTTAAGATAGTACAGGTAGTGTTAAGATAGTACAGGTTGTGTTAAGATAGTACAGGTAGTGTTAAGATAGTACAAGTAGTGTTAAGATAGTACAGGTTGTGTTAAGATAGTACAGGTTGTGTTAAGATAGTACAGGTAGTGCTAGGATAGTACAGGTAGTGCTAAGATAGTAACAGGTAGTAAGCAGATAGTACAGGTTGTGTTAAGATAGTACAAGTTGTGTTGATAGTACAGGTAGAGTTAAGATAGTACAAGTTGTGTTAAGATAGTACATGTTGTGTTAAGATAGTACAGGTTTTAAGATAGTACAGGTTTTAAGATAGTACAGGTTGTGTTAAGATAGTACAGGTTGTGTTAAGATAGTACAGGTTGTGTTAAGATAGTACAGGTAGAGTTAAGATAGTACAAGTTGTGTTAAGATAGTACAGGTTGTGTTAAGATAGAACAGGTTGTGTTAAGATAGTACAGGTAGTGTTAAGATAGTACAGGTAGTGTTAAGATAGTACAGGTTGTGTTAAGATAGTACAGGTAGTGTTAAGATAGTACAGGTTGTGTTAAGATAGTACAGGTAGTGTTAAGATAGTACAGGTTGTGTTAAGATAGTACATGTTGTGTTAAGATAGTACAGGTAGAGTTAAGATAGTACAAGTTGTGTTAAGATAGTACAGGTAGTGTTAAGATAGTACAGGTAGTTTTAAGATAGTACAGGTTGTGTTAAGATAGTACAGGTAGTTTAAGATAGTACAGGTAGTGTTAAGATATATTTTAAGGTTGTGTTAAGATAGTACAGGTAGTGTTAAGATAGTACAGGTAGTGTTAAGATAGTTAAAGATAGTACGGTTGTTTTAAATAGTTACAGGTAGTGTTAAGATAGTACAGGTAGTGTTAAGATAGTACAGGTTGTGTTAAGATAGTACAGGTAGTTGTTAGATAGTACAGGTTGTGTTAAGATAGTACAGGTAGTGCTAAGATAGTACAGGTAGTGTTAAGATAGTACATGTTGTGTTAAGATAGTACAGGTAGAGTTAAGATAGTACAAGTTAGTGTTCTGATAGTACAGGTTGTGTTAAGATAGTACAGGTTGTGTTAAGATAGTACAGGTAGTGTTAAGATAGTACAGGTTGTGTTAAGATAGTACAGGTTGTGTTAAGATAGTACAGGTTTTTAAGATAGTACAGGTTTTAGATAGTACAGGTTGTTAAGATAGTACAG